GCTCCCCCATAGCAGGAACAGAGCGGGTGGAAGCTGAGAGGAAATCGAAGGCAAGGAGATTAAGTTTGACTCCAGCTGGAGACCTTGAATGACAGGAGGAAGGTGGCAGCCGAGAGGGTGATGGATGGAGCGCAGAGGAGGTGGAGTCACATGTTATTGTCCCTGAGAGAGCAGCAATTTGAGGAATTTGAGCAAAGTGGAAAAATGAACTGCAGGGGCTCAAGTGTGGGTGTCACTTTACAGTTGTGTGTTCGACACACTGGTTTTTTCTTTTGTCCTGACAAAAGCTGAGCTCTGCATCTTCACTGCTGCTCTGCTGAACAGAAGCAGAAATGTAACTCTCTTCCCCTCCCCCCCCCCGTCTCCCCCTGAGTCACATGGTCCTAAACTGAGCTGTGAGCAAGACTAAACCTGAACATAATGAAGAGTTGAAGGATGCAGAGGGTAGTAAATGTATTTGTGTCTCCCCAGCCTTAGATCCTTCAGGCAGGCTAACTGCGCTAAGCTAATCAGGGGATACACAGACAGATCTGGATTCAATTAAAAAGAATCTTAGTAAAAACAAATAATGAATGAAAAAATGTTGTCGAATGTTGATTTTAAAACAACAAGATCCAATGAAGAAGAGAAGAGTCAATGTATGGACGAGTTTTTCAGTCACTGCATTAAATCCACAAATTAAAGGACAAACAGACAAAATCAGAAATACATTTTTACAGCTAATAAAAACAGAAGGAAGATAAAGGAGAAAAATATAAAAAAGTCAAGTGGATAGAGGAGTTAGAAAAGAAAGAAACGAACGAAGGAAGGAAGGAAGGAAGGAAAGATAGATGGATGGATGGGTGAGAGGATGGATGGGTGAGAGGATGGATGGGTGAGAGGATGGATGGGTGAGGACATTTATTTTGGCGGTGCTTACCAGAGATGGTGTACTCATCGCTGTGACTTTCACTGATGCGAACCAGAAATGATCCATCTTTGTTTTGGGACGCAAGGAGAAGCTTCTCCGCTTTCACTCTGTTTATGTTCCCGTAGTACCACCTGAGCGCACACACACACACACACACACACACACACACACACACACACAATGACAAGCAAAAACAGAGAGTGGGTGAGTAGGCGATCACAAAAATGGAAAAGACAGAGAGAATGTCCTGTTCTGACAGCTGTCATCACTGTCATCACACAGTCTGTGCCTGAATCTCCCTGTCACTCAGTGACAACAGTCAGTTCATTGGTGGAACCTTGGTTACTGATGTACTTTTAACAAGAACACCTACTGTTAGAGCTGCCGGCCTCCTGGTTTTCAGACCTCTTCACATTTTTTTTTCTTGGTTTGGGAGCAGGCACGTTTTAACAGGAGTTTGGCAGCGGTAAAGTAAGGGTTCATGGATTCAGAAGGGACCGTGTGGTAGTTTTTTTTATGGTCAGCTGAGAGCTCTGTCCTCATTTTCCAAAGTCAAAGAGGTGGCGCTACAGTAGACCAACATCACACTAGCTAACATTCCCAATATCTTATTAACTGTACAAAGTAATGAAGAGCTAACCAGTGATGCTAACATACATATGCTAACACTGACAGTGTTTTTGATAATTATAAAAAAAGCCAATAAAAAAGAGAATTTGAATACAGCCCCTGCTGGTGAGTTGTGGTACTGCCCCCAAAATGTACCTTTAGAGGCAGTACCAACACAGGAATTTCTCTAGGAATTTCTTTATCACTTGAGAACCACAAGAGTAGATTTACAGTTTTACCTCAAGAGGGCGATCCACAATGAATAGGGAGTTTGGCCTGATTTTGTTCCGAAGTTCTTAAATTATTCTAATATATAAATAAATTGTCTACATTTGTCACCAAGACTATTGTTGGCGGCCATTTTGAACATGTTGGAACAAAGGTCTTCACTTTAAAGCAAACGCATCATGGTGACATCATAAAGATAAACATTACACACAAACGTAGTTACACAGTTGAACTAACTGGTCAGGTGAGTTACATTGGCAACAGCAACAACAGCAGCAGCTTTGAGTAACGTTAAGTCTACACATCACCATGGCTCCTTGAACCACAGCCAGGATTAAAAAAAAAAAACCCTCAAAGACAATGAGTTCAGTAAATAAAAGACAGTGAAGACGTTTGCTCCGCTCACGGTGTTTGTGCGTTTATTACTGCCTGTTTGATCTGATATCAGAGTGACCTGTATTTACTCTGAATTATCGGGCAGGGCGGGTCTGCTCACCAGCACTCAGGTTTCACTGAAACTCACAACAAGCAGCAGCTCAGGAACAAGGATACAGTGCAGTACAACGCCCCAGACTCTGAGGACTGGCCCTAAAAATACGACTGGAATTAAGTGTAAACTCCAACACTGTTGTTACTGCTGGAGTTGAGACTGGGTTAATTGTGAAACAGTCCTAATCATAATAAATAATAATAATAATAATTTTAACTTTGTGTAACCACATGCTGCCTCCTGGAGGTGCCAAGCATGTGGTTCCTCTGGGACTCGAGCCCAGGACCTTCTGTGTGTAAGGCAGATGTGTAAGCAGCCGTGATAACTGCTGAA